ACGCACACACACACACACACATATATATAGAGAGAGAGAGAGAGGGAGGGAGGGAGGGATAGGGAGAGAGAGAGAGAGAAGCTATTTATCTCTGATTTATTTTGCAGGTTATCATGAATCCAGGGCAAAATGGAATCCATCTGGACTTCCAGCAAGACATCCTAAACAGATTCTGAATCCTGGGTTAATATCAGCCAAACTGCCTATATCCTTTGCTGATAACGGTAGTTGGGAACGAGGCTGCTGCACTACTGGGCTGGGCTACCAGCCCAGAGACTGCAAACGGACAGCTTTGCTGTCGTTTTCGACACCCCAGTGAAATTGCCGCAGGTTTGGCGTTTGTTATTTTTTCATTTTTTTTAAGGGGGGGATGTCAGGGCTGGCTGGCTGGTGTTGATCTCTCCAGGATCAACTGCCTCGACAGAAGAACAGCTTGGCAAGGAGAGGATGCTGGCATGGGGCAACTTTTGCAAGATGACAATGGAGGTTTGTTTGTTTTTTGCCAAGCAAAACGGACTGTTTTAGAGGGGAGCTGCTCCAGTCAAAACACAGACGTTTCATCGGCGTTGTGGTTAGCCCAGGAATGCAAACACACACACACACACACACACACACACACCTGCTCTGATAGAATATTTGTAGCTCATGGTTGAACCGAGGACGATGGGTTCTGACTCACGCCCTTTTCCAACAAATCAAACACAATCCAAAAGGAACAGAAAACCTTTACAAAATAATTAGCTCTGATAAGCACAAGCCTTGCCAAACCGTGCGAGATTTGCCAAAAGATAACAGACAAGAAATAATTTGCAATACAAGAATTTTCAAATACAAACTCAGGATACTGGAACGTCCACGAGGCTGGAGTTTCAAAACGTCTTTGCTTCCTGCAAAGAACGTCCGATTCGCAGCTGGCTTTTATCTTCTTGAAGGAGGGGCCATTACCTTGCAGCCTTACTCCAGAGTCGCCCGTGCGGTTGCCGCTGCTCTTTCCTGCAAGCAATCCTTTGTGCATGTGCGCTTGGCACAGGCTCCTCAGGAACCTCCTCATCGCTGCTGCCAGCCCCCACAATCTCCAAAGGCAGCAGTCCACTCCCTAATGGTCCTGGCCCTTCATCTGAGTCCTCTCTCTCCTCAGCCGTCCGCACCTGCTTGCCGGATAACCATAACGCGACGGCCATAGTGTTCTCTAAGCTCTGAGGACTTGTATTCCAAAGCATCTTACCTTGGTCTGGGACAGAAACTGAGACCTGTTGTTCCAGCTGCTTCCTCAGATGCTCGTTGGTTTTAATGGAATCTTCTAGCCGCTGTCTCAGCAAGCGTATTTCCTGGAGATGTTCCATCAACAGCTCTGAAGAAATTCCAGAGATTGGCTGAATCAGCTTAGGTTGGGAGGTGTCAGGGAAGCCCGGTGAGTTAAGGATCACTGCGCATCTTCTGCGATCAAGTGATGGTCCTCCAGATATTGGGAGGAAACCTTCAAAAACACTACCATCACCCCCAGGCCACCTGGGACACCCCTGGTGTCCCTTAACTACGTCATGCGCAGGCCTGACTTCGTCTTGTCTACCTAAAAGGCCTTCTGCTCAAGCCATTCTTTTCTTTGATGCCACCTCCCTTCAGACAACTTAAAAACTAATGAAAAAGGACAGCAGGACAGGAGGAAGGAAGGTGCCTGGAGCTTCGCTGGACTGCAGCTATCTAGAAGACTAAATTTTAAAAATGTAGTCACTTAAGAGTCTTTGGATTGAAGTGGTATATAAGAAAAAGACAAGAGAAACTGGAGAAAACAGAGCAAGAAAACTCTAGAAAGGACAACAGGCAGTTGAAGTGATCAGTATTAGATGATATTAACATTCCTCCACAAAGGAAACTTAACACGACGAAGTTAGTTTCCCAGTTTAGCTACTTAACTAACTCCTGAATTATGGGGGTTAGTAAAGTAAAAATCATCTACATTAAAAAAAAAATCATCTAAATTAAAACATTGGTGAGCACAACTGTATAAGAAAAAGCAATCTTTTCTCTTATTGGTAACTAAATCAGATCGGCGCGGACCATAATACTCCAATTCGCCTCACGAATTCCATCTTTTTGGCCTCCTTTCCGTGCCCCTTCACCCGCTTTCTCCTTCCATCCAGGATCTGACCTTGGAAAGCAGACCCATCCAAAAACATTGGTCTCCACTTCCTAGTTATTCCCACAACCCAAGCAGGCTGGAGAACTCGGAAAGCCAAGGTTCTCTAAAGATGCTCGTCTCGTTTCAGGCGCGGTTTGCAGTGTGCTTTGCTTTCAGTTGACCCCCCACATAGAAGGATCATCGCACCAAAGGGGCCATATTGCATTTGATCCAGATGTCACCAAAAATGCCCGGTTGCGGTCGAGTACCTTTGAGAGGGCAATGCGTGGAGCGTCGGATGGTTCTCCACCTGTTGTGCATTTCTGCTTTGCTCCGGTAGCGTTCGCTGCCTACCCGGCTTTGTTCTGCTCACCCACCCAAAACTTCCCCAAACTCCTGTGGCCATCACCAAATGTTTTTCGGCGCTGCCCAGTTTGTCACCTGAGCCTCCAGATTCCTACCTGAAGGCAACAAGGTGTGCGTTTCTGGGTCAATGCTCCATCAATAATGCAATGTCGGAAACCCGACACTGGTTTCTCTGAAGTTGGAACGCGTAGCATTTCATCCTTGCCGGCTGATTATTGTGTTAGCAGTTTATGGGCATTTCTTTTCTTTTTTTTAAGAGTAGTTTTTTTTGTTAAAAAGATATCACAGGTGAAGATGAAACCCACTGGTGGAATAGTTAGCATATCTCTGAGAGTTAAAGCAGAGCAGGAACAGCCTTTGGAGGCCACGTAAGGATCTCAGAAAGTTGACTCAGCCTTCCATCCTTTCAAGGTTAGTAAAATGAGGACCTTATTGTTGGGGGCAATAAACTGACTCTGTAAACCACTTTAGAGAGGGCTGTGAAGCTGTCTATATCTAAGTGCTATTGCTTCACGAGTCAAAGCAAAGCTGAAACAACCTTTGGAGGCCGTGTAAAATCCTAAGAATCAGGTCGAGGATTGGATTAACCTAATATTCTGCGTCGCTCAGCAGCCGGTCAGAAGCATTCATAAATTCATAAATCTGCCCTAGGAGTGGCCACCACACCCAGTAAATTAAATTAGTAGCAATTTGCCCGAAACTGGAGGAGATGTCTTTAGCGGCATCAAGACTCCAAGGTTCTATCATTAGATCCAACCGTCCATGAATGCACGGTGTCCTTTTTGAAAACTCCTCACCTCCTGTGTTTGAAGGCAGAAAGTTTTACCTACAAGTCCAGCCCACTGGCTTGAGCAGGGGGGGTTAGACTAGAAGGCCTCCGAGGCCCCCTTTCTAACTCTGTCATTCGGTTATTCCGACTTCTGCAACGTCCCGGACAGACCAATGTTTACCTGGTGGAAACTTGGTTGGGGTAGCAGTTGGTTTTCCCTTTCCGCTCTCCGTTTCTTCTTTTCCAGGAGTGGGTCCTTCTGAAGAGGGCAAGTGTTGGGTTATCTCAAGGTCCGACAAGCTACAGGGAAAGGAAATGGGGAAGGCTTAAATCCAGGTAGACCAATTGAGCCCAGAACTTCTAATGCTAATTTTTATTATTATGGAAAAGTAAACTATGGCTAGTTTTTATTATTATGGATAAGTACAAAGTTGAGGCTGAGCTTGTCGATCAGAAAGGTCGGCAGTTCGGCGGTTCGAATCCCTAGCGCCGCGTCACGGAGTGAGCTCCCGCTCCTTGTCCCAGCTTCTGCCAACCTAGCAGTTCAAAAGCATGCAAAAAAATGCAAGTAGAAAAATAGGGACCCTTTTGGGGGGGAAGCAACAGCGTTCCATGCGCCTTCGATGTTTAGTCATGCTGGCCATGCGACCACGGAGACATCGCCAGACAGCAGCTTTGAAACGGAGCTGAGCACCGGCGCCCCCTAGAGCCGGAAATGACTAGCACGTATGTGCGAGGGGAACCTCACTGCAACAGAGAGAAGTCAAAGCCCTTTTTTTCCACCCCCTTTTCCCTTCCCCTTCCCATTGTGTCCTCCTATTTGCTTTTGTATTTTTGCATTTCGTTCTATCGTTAAATAAAAGGTTCAAAACACATGCTAAAAGAGCGTGCAATTCCATCTCAACATTTAAAAAAAACAGGAGACGGTAGATAGAAAGACGTGGAATTAAAAGCCATTCTAGCACCTACCTCTGGGCAAGATTGCAAAGCCTGGCCATTTCGTCGTCTATTGGCTCTCCTGAAAAGCCAGGGAGAAAAAAAAGAAACATAATTATAATTAGGAAGGGAACCCAAGCAGCCTGTCGATGGGAACCCAGCCTAAAATTCTAGCCATGGAGAAAGAACCATCGTTCTAATATTTTTACGGAAAGGAGCCAATGTTTAGGAATTACATAAATGAGTAAAAAGTAAGTAAACGGGCCCTTCAGATTCTCCAAACCTGAGCCCTCTCTGATTGTTCTTCTCAACCTCTCCGAACAGACTGACTCCGGCCTGCTGGCTAGGGGTGATGGGAATTGTAGTCCAACATCATCCTTAGTGAAGCGTGCAAACCAGCGCCTGCACTTCCTGCATCGGATGAGGAGACCATATCTTTCTCCTTCTGTTCTGGCCACTTTTTTTTTACAGAGGCACAACTGAGAGCGTTTTAACAAACTGCATCCCTGTTTGGTTTGGCGGCAGCAGAGCCTCAGATAGAAAGTCCCTATGGAGAGTGGTGAGGACAGTGGAGAAGATTATAGGAAGCTCCCTTCCCGTTAGAGATAAGGTTTGGGAGAGGAGGTCTCAATTAACCATTGTCTTTTTTCCTTCTTCTTTTGGGTCAACAGAACGTGAAGCCATGATGGGATGGGGCGAAGCCTGGAGAGGGGACACGGCCATCGCTGAAGTTCTCAAGAAGATGCCAGCTACCCACCGTAGAGACATTGGTGCTCCAGCCTCTCAAAGATCTGGGCGCTTTGGTTGAGCTTCTCCCGAAAGCTCTTGGCTACGTAGTAATCCACCTCGTTGTCCCACAGGAGATCTTCAAACGCGCGGATCAAGTTGGACAGGTGTTGCCGGTAAGTGGCACAAATGTTGTGGGTCTCGTGGATTTTCTGGCGCTGGCGGGACTCCTCGGGAAGCGACGGGCCGACAGAGAAATCCGGCCTGGCAACAGAAGCGGCAAGCGTCCTAAAAAAAAAAAACCCTTTCTAAATGAGGGTTCACCCATCTTTCTAAATTATCATTTATTTCTTTTGTTTAGAAAATGTATATGGCTGCCTTCTCCCTTTTAGCAACTCTGAGCAGCTCACAAAAAACAATCAAAACCCAAGATGGGTAGTCCTTGATTTATAACACTTCATTTATTGATTGTTTGGGGGAGGGGAAAGGAGTTGACATGTCAGTGTTTCCTGGTTGCAGCCGACTCTGACACTTCATTCATTTCCCCCTTGACCCTGGTCTTCCCCGGATGTATATTCTCCAATGGGACACATCCATAGCCAAGAGTCACCAATCATGCTCTCCAGCAATAATCTTGCATGCCAACAGCTTCGGCTGCCAAGGCGATTATCTGAGGCATTTAAGGAATGCACTGCTTTCCCCCACTCCTTTTCTGCTGGCAACTAAAAAGACCAAAGGAGTATTTTTTTCGTTGACAGTGACCTTTTCAAGCACACCATCCCGCTTCTGCGATAGGGAAGCCAAATTCACTTAACAATAATTGGACTCATTTAACAACCGGTTTGTATTTATGACCGGCGGCAGTGTCCCAGGGTCCCCTTTTGCGACCTTCTGACCAGCAAACGTCAGCAAGGAATCTGAATTCATTTAACGACCGGGCAGCTCACTTAACCACTGCAGTGATCGGCTTCACACGGTCGTAAAAGGGGGTGAAATCCATTTAAGGACCGTCGCTCTTAAGAGCAGAAATAGGGGGCCAAACTGAGGTTGTAAGTGTCAGGGTTGTGACACTCAACCCCATTTAAATCATGAGTCTCTAACCAAACTCCAAAAGGATGTATTGGGAGTTAAAAAACACAGCATTGCCTGGGTGTAGCCGACTCTGAGACACATCATTCATTGTCACCCTTGACCCTGGTTTTCCCCCCACCCCCCTGGGTGTATCATCATTCACATTCTCCAATGGGACACATCCATAGCCAAGAGTCATCAATCATGTTCTCCAGTTAGAATTTTGCATGGCAGAAAATTTCGGTCACCTAGAAACTATCTTTGAAAACATTTATGGAATGCACTTTCAGTTTGCAAGTTGCCCACTGCTTCCACCTCGCTTTCTGTTGGCAACTCTAAAAAGACCATAGAAATATTTTATGAGTTGACAGTAAGTTTGAGGACTTTCTGTATTATAACCACGGTTGTTGTTGTTTTGCAGGCACACCCAACCACACACCCTTTTCTCCCGAGGATGAGAGCCTGCTACTCACTCGTCCCGGGGAGTCAGGCTTTTGAGTTTGTCGTGGAGACGATGGACTTCATCTACCAGTTTCATGTTCGCCATCTGCTCTTTCTCAAGCTCGGCTTCGTTTTCTGACAACAGCTCTCGGAGCTTCTGGACGGTCTGGTCGTTCGAGGGACCGGATCCTGAAGAATCCTCCACGCCTTCCTTTGGCTCCATTTCGTTGGAGAAGCTGGCGAACTCCGGCTCGCTTTCCTTGAACTCCGCGGGAGAGGGCATCCTCTCACCGTCGCTCCGGACGGGATCCAGAGCGTCTCCGGGAGGACACGGTTCAACCAGATCGAACTGGATCAGCAGCAGCTGGTATTTTTCCACCACGGATTTCAGATCCCTGATTCTCCGTCTCAGGTCTTCGACGTCATTCACGGCCTCGCAGTCGAAGGTGTCGAAACTGAGCCCGCTCTGCTTAAGGGAAGGGCTCCTCTTGCCCCCCGAGGACAGCGACACGGCGTCCCCGTACTGCTTCTCGGGGACACCAAGCAGAGGGCGAAGCTCTGGCAAAGCGGACCGTTTGGATTCAGGGGTCTCCTTTTCTATTTCTGGAATGCAAAAAAGGCGAATGGTTTAAACCAAAGATGGACTCAGTTAGGGACTAAAAGGGACAGTTCTTGAGAATGAGAAAAATCGACCCAAAGAACAGCTCCCCCATCAGAAGTTATGGGTGGAGGCTTTTAAAAATAGACTGGAGAGTCCTTTGTCTGAAATGCTATCAGATCTCCTGCTTGAGGAGTGGGTTGGACTAGAAGACCTCCAAGGCCCCTTCCATTATTCAGTTCTTCTCTTATTCTGTCTATTTCTTTGAGGTTGTTAAAGTGTCCAATGTATGTTGCTAAAACTGGCGGTTCCTGCCTTCCAGCAAGGAGTGACTTGTGTCTCCTCTAAACTGGTGACTTCAACCCACATTCCTAAATGGAGGGGCGGGGGGGGGGGCGGGAAACCCTGTTCTTCCCATGGATTGAGTCCAGCAACTAAACCGAAATGATGGTTCGTTCAAGAGGGAAAACGAACCATTTTATATTGGTGGCGTTGCTTGGTGGTTTCTGAGCTCGGATGGAGGTTTTTTCTGTTCCTTGTTTTTGAAAATGTTTCATTATCCCATTAGGGAACATCATCAGCGTTAGAAGGGTTACCTAGACAAGCACTGATGATGTTACCTAGTTAGGTTATGAAATGTCTCCAAGAAAATCACCAAGCCCAGAGAGCACTAAGGACTCCACAGTCCTCACCCTCTTCCTCCTCTCCCCTGCAAACCCCACTCCCTTCTAGCACTGATGATATTACCTAGTTGAGTTATGAAACATTTGTAAGAAAATAACCCAGCTCACAGAGCACCAAGGACTCCACAGTTGTCCTCCTCCTCCTCCTCCTCCTCCTCCTCCTCTCCCCAAGTTATACTCCCTTATAGCACAGATAAAGTAACCTAGTTGGGTAATGAAATGTCTGCAAGAAACTACTAAGCTCAGAGAGCACCAAGGACTCCACAGTCCTCCTCCTTCCCTCTTCCTCCTTCTCCTCTTCCTCCTTCTCCTCTTCCTCCTCCCCCTCCTCTTCCTCCCTGCAAACCCCACTCCCTTCCAGACTGATGATTTTATCTAACTGGGTTATGAAATGTCTGCGAGAAAACAGCCCAGCTCAGAGAGCAGCAACGACCTCACAATTCCACCCTGAGCTACAGATATTCTCTTCTATTGGTACCATTTTACATTTCTTTATGTCTTAGATGTGTATGCCAGCTTGCTTCCAGGAGCTTTAAATAGCATCTATCACATTCCTGCCACCAATTTCTTTTCGCCAGTCGCCAACCCCGAGTTGTGAGCTCAGCTAAGGGAGAATGATTGGCACGAACCCATTTGATGCGCTTCCATGCAGCGGGCTGGCTGGGGCTGTAGCCTTCAACCTGCACCTCCCAAATTCTCACCTGCCACCTGTAGGCCCCACTGCCTGTAGCTCTTCAAATAATTAAAACAAACCTCCACATGCATGTATTATTTTTTTTTAAAAAAAGCTAATATTGCTGGCGTTTGTATGCAGCGACTTTCTCTTTTCCTGATTGTTCTTTCATTTTGCGATGAAAGAAATTATTGATGGTGGAACTCTGGAGGTCTCTTTGATGTTGAGAAAGAGGGAATGGAAAATTTGATACCAGGTTCTCTCCACGATCATTAATCCCATGTACAAACTGCTTTAAGCTGTTCAGTTACGTCCCGAGAAATTCAAACAGGGGAACGGGGGCGGAAATGGTATCTGTAGCTCACAAAATGTGCTTGTTAGAAGGCACTTGATGGCCATTTAAAAATAAAATTACAGAGAGGATCAGAGAAATTCCATCGCTTCCGACTCAGAGGGCAGCCATACCTTCCAATTATACGTTAAACTGGTTGTGTGAATCCCGCCGACGAGTCAAAAATAAAAACTTAATTCTCAGAAGATGCTTTTCCAAAACTACAAACGGGGGCTGGCAAGGAACAATTAACTGCAGCAAAATCAAACTAGGAGACAGAATATTTTAACAGAAAATAACAGAATATTTTAACCTGGTTTGTTTGGGTTTTTTTGTTGTTGTTTTTTTGGCAAGTTGGGTTGGCAGTTGCACACACTGCAAATTGCACGTGTGCAAAAAGGAGCTGCAGAAATTCAAACTAGGGAACTGTACCTAATTGGATTGCTTTGCTGTGATCCTGGTCTCTCTGGCCAGCGTTTTGGATACTGGGCAGGTTAAGATCTGCTTCAAAGACCTTTGGCTGGGTTGCCGATGCTTCTGCAGAAATAGGTAGACGATATATTGAGTTTAAGAGACCAGGAAACGACAATGTTAAATAAAGTAAATAAAATTCAAAAAGGGAGAAACAACATTTTTTTAAAAAATCCATATCTTCTATTTTAAGGGGGAAATGGACATTTCACTAAAGTTTAACTTAAAAGCGTAAAAGTTAGGTTCCTTGCATCCTTGGAAAGAAGTGGAAACGATATTCTTTGTGTATATATATTTCTGTTCTCCACCCTTTGTGGATTTTCAGGCATGTATTGCTATTCTCATTCTACGTTTTCACCTGATCGTTAAATGTATCATATTTTTTTTTATCTGTAAGCTAGGTAAAATATACTATGATCATTGGAAAAATGAAAACCATCACGATAAAACGCAACCAATGTTGATTATTTCGTGAGAAATCTCCTGTGGGTTTTATTTTTTTTCCTGTTTCAAAATTTTTGGACAAAGTTGGGATTTAAGTCTCTGAAAAAACTGTAGTAACTCATACGAGATCGTTAGAGACATTTAGAGACAATGTAAAAAGCCTTTCTAGGGAAAAACCAACATTTCTCGCCCGTTCACTTGGCTCTGTGCCAGGGATGATGTAATGCCACATTCCAATGATGTCATCTTTGGGGGCATTACATCATCATTTTGTGTTTCCGTCGTTCAGTTGCTCCACAAAGCTTTGTGAGTGTCCTAGTGCAAGGGTCTCCAATCTTTCTGGACTTGCAGGCCAGGGTGGGGGAGCGGGGAGGTTCCTTTACGCGAGCGTGCGCGAACGGGACCACGAGCATGCGCATGAGCAAGACAGCAATTGTGTGCATGATGCAAACAGGGCCACAACCACCCACCCGACGGGGTCAGGCGACACCAGCACGAGTGGGGCAGATGCTCCCACTCAACAGAGCCCGGCGGCCAGTGGTGGGTTTCCAATTTTTTTCGTAAGAGTGTGCTGCTGCGCGAATCAACTGAGCTAAAAAACAAGGGAATATAGGACAGGAAAGGGCAGGCCCAGCCAGAGGTGTTCTTTTCCAGTTCTCCAAACTAGTTAAAATTCCCGCAAACGGTGGAGCAGAACTGGTCTGAACCAGTTGAACATCACCTCTGCCAGTGGCCAACAGCTCACGGCCCAGGAGTGGGTTAGTGTCCTAGTGGAACAACCTCTTATAAGTCCAAAAGGAAGGAAGAGGAGAAAGTTGGGTTGGTTTCCTTGGAAGACCTCTCCCTATACCTGCTTGTTTGTCTTCTTCTCGTACGTCCTTCCGGATGGACCCATGGCCCTCGGCCTCGCTTTGGTGGGCCTCTTCTCTCAACTGCCTTCCCTTCGGGCCTTGGTCCAGGGCAAAGACACAAGGTTGGAGATCTGGTCTGGGCAGTGAGGTCATTAAGGAGATGCTTCCCAGGGATCTTGAGGCCTTCAGCAAAACGGGCAAGCGCGACTTCTTGGACTGGTAACAGGAGTTGCTCTGAATGAAACACAAGATCAAGAAAGGATGTGTAAGGCACAGACTCTCTCCCCTTCAAACGATAAGAATGAACTTTTGAAAACTGGGTATTTTAAAAGGAATTCTTTACTGAAAAGGAAGATATAGCCAGGCGACATTCAAAGCAGGATCTGATATCCTTCCAGGCATGCAGCTTAGATAAAGGGAGTTAGAACCCCTCCCCTTAGTCCGGTGTGGATTTCATCAATACAAAGAAACAATATGCTAATTCCCCCCCCTCCCCTCTTTTTTTTCTGGGAACATAGTTGAGAAAAAATTCCCAGGAAGTTTCTTTTGGAACTGGGATTTTTATGGTCCCTTCTCCTCTTGCTATCTCTCCGAGAGGTGACAAGTTTCCAGGCATCTGGGCTCCAGTCCCCAGTTGTATATCATATGCAAGTTATACAGATTCAGTACAAGAATTAAGATATTCAGGTTACATAAAAAAGGATTCCTTGTATCAACCCCACCCCTCCATCTTCTTCCACTGAAGAATGGCAGATACATGGATCTGACAGGATGCATATTTAGTTATTCGTATATCAACTGCTGCCAGAATTGTATTCAACACAAAACTGAATGAATGAATGAACAAATGAATGGATGAACGAATGAATGAATTCTTTATTGGCCAAGTGTGATTAGACACACAAGGAATTTGTCTTGGTGCATATGCCCCCAGTGTACATAAAAAGAAAAGATACTTTTGTCAAGGATCATAAGGTACCACACTTAATTGGAGGAGTGAAGAGATACCTACAGATGAGAATGTGATTAGGAAAATATTAGAATGTGTGGAGATGAATAGATTAACACTGGCAATTAAGGAGAAGGAGCAAACTGAATACTGTATGGTCTGGGATTCATTTTATCAATGGTTAAATAAATAAAAAATGGAAGTTAGAAACAGGGAAACAAAATAAAGAAGATATGTTAAAAGAGATCAGTAAATATTATGACTAGTATGTTGAATATCATTATGTTAACATTGTAGAATTAATATGTGGAACATTATGATGTGAAATATTGCAGAATCAATATTAATGTAATGAAGGCTGTTGTAATTTTGATCATTGTTTAACGAAGATATTTGTACCCAGACAACACACTGTTCAACCGAAGATGGAATGATCGTATTAAAACTTTTAAAAAAATTATAACAGCATCAACAGAGACGAGAAGGAGAATCAAATACAGTCTGAAAGAATCCAGGACAAGCTGAGAGGGAGAAAAACGGGGTACATTTTGTGTCTGGGGGTATGGGTGAGTAAAGACACACCCCAACCGGAGGAGGAGGAGGAGGAGGAGGAGGAGGAGGAGGAGGAGGAGGAGGAGAAAGAAATCAGCCTTGCAGGGCTGCAAAATGGGAGAAAAATGTTTTCTCACATAGCTTTCTCCCTTTTCTTTTTCCTATGAGCCCTTTGCAAATTCAGAAAGATTTTTAAGAAATGATTAAGGAAGCACGTCGACACCCCTATGCATCATTAACTTAAGAAATTACCCCTGAATGTTGCGATAACTATGAAAATTACTGCTTATTTCTGTGCATTAAGGATGTTCAGGAACAATGCTCTACCAATGACTGATTAGCTGTAATAGAGAATAATGGCTAAAAGACTGTAATAGCTAGAAGCAACGTTACTCCAACGGCTTCACACTCTTGAGTGGAGGTCTCTGGGAAGAGCCATCTCTTTGCCTCAGTTACTCACTGAGCAAGAGAGGAGGAGGGACAGGGAAAGAGAAGGAAAAATAGAAATGGCCCAGAAGTCTTCTAGGGTAAGATCTGAAGTCTGCAGATCTTTCAGGATGTCCATCAAAGGTGGCCGAGCAAAGCAGGGCTCATAGAATGGCCGCTACCATCCCACCTTCTTCAATCCAGGTGTCTGTTTATCACCTTGCCCGAACGTATTTAGTTGAGTTGGGCCAGAATGCAGAATGTGTTGGGTATCATCTCAACAGAAGAAGAAAGACACAAGAAGTCCAGATTCATGAAGAGCAAACGAGGCCAACTAGAGTTATGGGCCGTGTATTTAATTGGGCATTTCGGACACCAACTCAACCAGACCAACAAAAGATCTTCTCTTTTTCCTCTTCCATGTACTCTATGGTTGCTGTGTACTCACTAGCATTGATGATGTTGTTTAGTTGGGTTGTGAAACGTCTGCAAGAAAACCACCAAGCTCAGAGAGGCATCAAGGACCCAGCCCCCTCCAGTCCTCCTCCTCCTCTCTGCAAACCCTACTCCCTTCTACCCCTGATGATACTACCTAGTTCGGTAAATGAAATGTCTGCAAGAAAACCACCAAGCTCAGAGAGCATCAAAGACCCCACAATCCTTCCCTCCCTCTTCCTCCACAAACTCAGCTCCTTTTTAGCACTGGTAAGCTTACCCATCAGGATGTCACCTAGTTGGGTAATGAAAAGTTTCCCTGAAGAAGTTTCATTACCAAACTAGACATCATCAGAGCTAGCAGGGCATGGGGTTTGCTCTTTCTAGTAGCATTTTCCACTCCCTTCCAACACTGATGGTGTTCCCTAGTTTGGTAATGAGACGTCTGCAGGAAAACCACCAAGCTCAGAGACCATCAAGGATGACACCTCCTCCTCCTCCTCCTCCTCCTCCTCCTTTCTGCAAACCCTACTCTCTTCAAGCACTGATAGTGTTCCCTCGTTTGGTAATGAGACGTCTGCAAGAAAACCGCCAAGCTCAGAGAGCACCAAGGACCCCTTTCATTTCAACCCAGAGCTACAAAAGGATTCTCCTTCAGTCGATACTCACTTTGTTTGCTTTGCCGACTTGAGGGAGGGCCTTCTGCGGATCGCTCTTGGCCGAGACGTACCTCTGCCAGCAATCCTGGTCAAACCAAGAAGATTGGGTGGCGGCGCCATATTCGGAGACCGCCGTCCTTTTGCCTTCGTGCTTCGGCCTCACAGCGACTCCTGACCGGGTCATCGTTTGGGTAGCGGTGTCCTTCACTTCCACTTTTGACAATTCAGTCTCCAGGTTCAACTGGCCTGCGGTTTCGGCGTCCTCATGGCCGGGCATGGGTTGCGGTTCACCTTGTTGCTTCAGTGCAACGTTGGCTTGCATAAGCTGCTCGAGTTCCGCTCTCAGCTGAATGATCAGCTGCTTAAGATCCTTCTCCTCTTTGTTCTCCAAATCGTTGCTTAAATTGTCTCGCCCGGCAATCTTCGGAGGATCTAATGGCTCATTTGCAGTTTTGCTCTCTCCTTGTCTACATTTTATTGCAGAGAGCAGTGAGGGGAGGAAGAACGGAGACAGAAAAATAACAAAATTTATCAAAAAAAAAACCCAACAACCCACAAAACCACCAAACATTTGTCAGAAAACAAATTCACCAGCTGCAAAACAGTTTCTAGGCTCATCATAAAGCCTGGATGAATTCCTCTTTTCATGTTAACCACTTCAAAGAGCGTCAGATGAGAGGGTGGAAGATTAGCGAAAACAGCAGGAATTGCTTTAACAAAAAAAAAAAAAAAGTAATAACAGAGATTCAGAAACAAACTTAATCCAACAGTTATCGAGAAATGATTACGTACAATTTGGCGAGAATTTAAAAATAAATAGCAGGCTGCTGAAAAAAAAAATCATTTGATGGAAGCTGCTGTTTTTCCCTGAGAAAAAGGGAATCATTTTCTCACTTATCACAGTTGGGCAGGTTCTGGGAAGGAACAAAGGGCAAAGAGGAATCAAAAGCGCTCTGGAGGTGGTATCTAAACACCAAAGTAACTTTTGCTGTTTTTTTTTCCCAGAATAAACCTTTCCGTAAAGTTACCACAATTCGTTTAGCGATCGTTCAAAGTTACAATGGGACTGAAAAATGTGACTTATAACCATTCTTCACAGTTAGGACTTTTACAGCATCCACAAGATCATGTGACTGAAAATCAGATGCTTGCCCACTGACTCATACTTATGACAATTGCACTGTCCCAAGGTCACGTGCAGGGTGGATGAGTTGATTTAAATCACAATTTAAATATCTAGTAAAAGAGCTTGATTTTAGTAAATCAACTTAATTTAAATCATTTTTAAAGAGCAACTGTTATCTCTGAATGAATGAAAGAAAGAAAGAAAGAAAGAAAGAAAGAAAGAAAGAAAGAAAGAAAGAAAGAAAGAAAGAAAGAATTCTTTATTGGCCAAGTGTGATTGGACACACAAGGAATTTGTCTTGGTGCAAATGCTCTCAGTGTACATAAAAGAAAAGATACCTTCGTCAAGCGTCAAGAATCATAAGGTACAACACTTAATAATAGTCATGGGGTACAATAAGCAATCAAATCATACTAGGAAACAGTCTATAAATCATAAGGATACAAGCGACAAAGTTACAGTCATACAGTCACAAGTGGGAGGGGATGGGTGATAAGGAGCGATGAGAAGATTGATAGTAATAGCAGTGAAGCCTTAGTAAGTAGTTGGACAGTGTTGAGGGAATTATTTGTTTAGCAGAGTGATGGCATTGGGGGAAAAAACTGTCCTTGTGTCTAGTTGTTCTGGTGTGCAGTGCTCTATAGTGTCGTTTTGAGGGAAGGAGTTGAAACAGTTTATGTCCAGGATGTGAGGGGTCTGTAGATATTTTCACAGCCCTCTTTTTGACTCATGCAGTTTTATACAGGTCCTCCATGGAAGGCAGGTTGGTAGCAATTGTTCTTTCTGCAGTCCTAATTATCCTCTGAAGTCTGTGTCTGTCTTGTTGGGTTGCAGAACCAAACTCTGCTGTGAAATTGTATGAATGCATCAATGCGGTGCATGGGATCTCAGCTTCCAGAGCTTGGATTCATTGAACGAGTTTACCAAAAATCTAAACAGAATATACAGCCTAGTGCTACATAACCAAGCTCCACTTCATGCTGAATAAACTAAATTATTAATGCATCTTAAATAGAAAACTATCTTTAGATCAATGTTTGTTCCAAAAGCATTTTTGGAACAATCCAGAGATTATTTGTAGGTGATGGCTGAAGAGAAGGTTTTGAAGAGCAATCTAGAAAGAGTGCAGAGAAGAGCAACAAAGATGATTAAGGGATTGGAGGCTAAAACATTTGAAGAACGGTTGCAGGAACTGGGGATGTCTAGTCTAATTAAGAGAAGGACCAGGGGAGGCAGGAGAGCAGTCTTCCAATACTTGAGGGGCTGCCCCAAAGAAGAGGGAGTCAAGCTATTCTCCAAAGCACCTGAAGGCAGGACAAGAAGCAATGGATGGAAACTTAATCAAGGAGAGAAGCAACTTAGAACTAAGGAGAAATTTCCTGACAGTTAGAACAATTCACCAGTGGAACTACTTGCCTCCAGAAGTTGTAAATGCTCCAACACTGGAGGTTTTTAAGAAGAGATTGGGTAGCCATCTGTCTGAAGAGGTGTACGATTTTCCTGCCTAGGCAGGGGGTTGGACTAGAAGACCTCCAAGGTCCCTTCCAACTCTGTTATTCTATTCTAAGACAAATGACCCAAGTTGATCATGGTCTCTCCTCCAGCTGAGAGAGAGATATCCCTGTCCCACCCCTGAAGAGTCTTCTTACAGACTTACAAGCCCAATTCCGGAAAAAAATATAATGGAGGGAATACATACTTAACTTTACATGTCTTAACTGCAGCTAGAATTGTATATGCACAACAATGGAAAAGTGAAGAGATTCCCCACGGAGAAAATTGTAATTAAAAAAATATTGGAATGGGCAGAAATGGATAGATTAATGCTTAAAATTAAGGGAAAAGATGAAACTGAATACTTTTTAAAATGGGACTTATTTTATCAACGGCTAGCCAATAAAAACAGAAGTTGGAAATATGGAAACAGAAGAGAAGAACTAATTGTGTAAAGGTCTTTTAAAATGGATAGGCAAATATTATGATTATTATGATATTAACACCAAGGCAATAAATATTACTGTGAATATTATGATTATTATTTCTCAAAATTATTTGTACTCAGACAACACACTGTTAAACTAGAAATGGATTTTTTTTCATTTTATATATAACTAGCTGGATATCTGTGCTTCGCTACAAAATTATGTGATCTGGCTTAATTTTGGGGGAGGAAAATAATGGCGGGGGGAATCTGCCTCTGTCTGCCAGCATCCATCGGTATTCATCTGGCTACCATCCTGTCTGTGTCTGAGAGTTGAGGGCTGTTTGGAAACTGAAAGAGTATTTGCTGCGTGAGCAAGGAGACAGCAAGGAGCCTGGGCGTGGCTTAGCTCAACAGTTCTGTACTAAAGCTGCTTGGTGCTGTGAAAGTAAAACTGAAACTGAACCTCCTGTTCTCTGCTTTTGTTTTACATTTGGAAGAGATTTCTTTTCAGGTGGGGAGGGGGGGTCGTAAAATGAGGCAAAGCTCACTTAATGACGGCATCCCTTAGCGAGAGAAACTTTGGCCTCAACTGGGATTTGCCCTGCGAAACTTTAGCAGTCTGCAATCTCTCCAGACGAAAAGAGAGCTCGCAATTAATTCTTCCCCATTTGGAGTCGACAAACTTGTGTAGGCCTGGAGCCTCTTTTTCAAGGCATCCTTTGACATGGGTGGTCTCACTTGTTTGCCCCCCCCTCCCCGGAGGAAGCATCTTCCCTCCATGCCACCCGCACCCACCCCCCAATCGCCAGGAAGGAAATTCGCCCCATAAACGGAGAGGGAGCTGGCTTTACGATGCGTCTCCTATTGACTTAATTGCACGAAGAGCTGAAACCTTTCCGAAGGCAGCGAGCTGATTTCCCCCAGGTAAATTATCTCCCTTCGTCTTTAAAATGCAATTGCTTCGGTGGTAGGATTCAAAAAAATTTTTTTACTACCAGTTCTGTGGGCGTAGCAGGGGAAGGTTACTGCAAAATCCCCTCCCCACCTCGCTAACCTGCTTTCCAGCTCCATTCTCCTTGTGCGGGGCAACCAAAGGAGACCCAGCCAATCAGCAGTGGCCGTGGCTTGGTGCGTGTGGTTGTCTGTGGGCGTGGCTTGGTGGACGTGGCTTGGGATGTGTGACAGGGGGAAGGATATACTGCACAATCCCCCTTCCCTCCCCACCCCATTAACCTGCTTTCCAGCTCCGTTCTCTTGTGCAGGGCAACCAAAGGAGACCCAGCCGATCAGCTGGGACTCAATGGGAGGCAGAGAAGAGATGGGGTTGGCGGGGCCAGTCAGAGGCGGTATTTGCCAGTTCTCCAAACTACTCCAAATTTCCGCTACCAGTTCTCCAGAACCGGTCAGAACCTGCTGAACAACACCTCTGAATTGCTTCCTTCGTTCCTCCAGCAGGAGGACGGCTGTCGAAATTGCTGTGTCTTTTTTTAAAATTTATTTTTTAATGTAAACATTCCATCTTCCATTAAACAGTGTGTCGTCTGGTTACAAATATCTCCGTGCAATAACTATCAGAATTTACAACATATACATTATTTTGATATTGACTTTCTAGTCTTACAATCGTAATATTGTATATAATAAAAGCTTCCCATTTCTCCCCCTTAACATATCTTCTAACAAAAGTATAGTGATATTAAACATAGTAAGCTTAATAGTCATATCAATAACAATCATCATATTGTTTACATCTGTATCTTTACTTTCTATAATTCACTAATCTCTCTTCTTTTATTTCTAACTTCCATTTTTCTCCTCTAACCATCGATAGAATAATTCCCATATTATATTCATATTCAGTTTGTTCTTTCTCTTTAATTGCTAACGTTAAACTATTCATTTCTGCACACTCTAATATTTTTTCCTAATCACGATAAGAAATTGCCGTGTCTTAAGCGGCTCACTCACCGAGATCCAAACTCCACCTCTCCAGTTTCGCTCAGAAGGCACACAGGCAAAGAAGTCTCTTTCCGAGGATCGCAATTGTTGACCGCTGGGCTCCCTTCAAAATATTTGCCAGCAACCGGCTCAGATTCAAGCTCCGGTGGGTTCAGAATCTTGTAGGGTTGATCCAAAGGAATGATCTGATGGAAAGGAGGGGATGAAAAGGCCTGGCTCTTTGGCTGGTGGAAAGGAAACATGTAGACGCTTGTCCACCAATCTAGAGACAAGATAAGTTGAGGATAGCCATTGATTCTGGCCAAAGGAAAAGACTCCATAATAATTAAGTGGATTTTAAGGGGAAGCCGTATAAAGGTTGCCCTCGCATGTACATGCTAGTTGTTTCCAGCTCTAGGGGGGTGGTGACCATCTCCATTACAAAGCCAAAGAGCCAGCGCTGTCCTAAGACGTCTCCGTGGTCATGTGGCCGGCATGACTAAACGCCAAAGGCGCACGGAACGCCGTTCCCTTCCCCCCAAAGGGATCCCTATTTTTCTACTTGCATTTTTTTTTTGCATGCTTTCGAACTGCTAGGTTGGCAGAAGCTGGGACAAGGAACAGGAGCTCACTCCGTGATGTGGCGCTAGGGATTCGAACCGCCAAACTGCCGACCTTTCCGATTGATAAGCTCAGCGTCTTAGCCACTGAGCCACCGCATCCCTGAAGCAGTTGCTCCATCCCATATTTGGGTAGACCATGGTGCCCTGATAAAAAAAAAAACAATCTCTCCCCTGGTAGGGCCGACAAAATGAGGAGAGCCCATGGCTTAGAGGTTAATACAACTACGTCATATTTAAGCAGCCTGGGTTCGAATCCCAGAAGGGGTATTGCTAGCTGACGAGAGTTAAATAGCTTGAAATAGACCTAGTGTCCCTTTATTTCTTTGTCAGTAAATATAAATTTAACACCCTGTAATAATGTCCTCCATAAGATTCGTTTTACTGGATGTCCGATTTGGGACACTTACAATGGAATGCAGCCTTGCAGACCTGAAGATAGTACTGTCTTGGTTGAGCCAAGATAGGGGTTTGTAACTCAGTTCAACAACCAAAGCAGAAATGCCCATGACGGATGCCCGCTTTGGGTCAAAGATGGGATGGAATAGGGGAAGGGAGGAGAGGAACGGAAGAGAAGGCATAAGGGAGAAGAAGGGAGAACAGGGGAGATGGGAGAAGAAAGAAGAAGCAAGAAAAGAGAAGGGATAAGGGAGAAAAAGAGAAAAGGAAGAGGGGAGAAGAAGGAAGAAGAAGAGAAAAGGGAGAGGGGAGAAGAAGGGAGAAGAAGGGAGAAGAGAGAAGGGAGACGGGAGGAGAAGGGAGAAAAAGAGAAAAGGGAGAAGGGAGAAGGAGGAGGGGAGGAGAGGGAAGGGAAGGGAAGGGAACAGAAGGGGAGGAACACTAGTAGAGTGATGACAAAAGAACTGGAGTTATTTCCTTTTGTCAGCCTGTAAATTCAGTGTGGCACGGATGGGACTGTAAACCCATGAATCCTTGCAGGGCGCTTATCTTCACGCCACCAAAGAGAGCTAAGCTTCAAACCCAACCAAGTTCCACCTGTTGGTGAAGGACCATCCGAGCAATTGTCTAGAATTTCGGAGCTTCGTACACCACCACCCCCAAAATCAGCGAGAACCCTTAAAAAAACAGGCTGCCAGGCCAATGAAGTCCCACCTCGCTCAGGGTCTCTGGACAGTCGCAGCTGGGCACGCTCGCCTCTTCGTCGGAAGCCCCCAGCAGAGTCTGACTTTCCTCCGTCCGCTCAAGAAGCTACACAAAAATGTGGAATGAGATTTTTAAAAAGGCTGCATTGGTCAAAGGAAACCGGGTGATATGAAGCATGTACACACAAGTAATGCCTTTTGGGGGGGGGGGGGGGGGGGCGGAAAGGAAAATAGAGACACGCCTGCAAACGGAGTAACAGATACAAGGTTATTTAGAATTGGCGCCATCTCAAAATATAGGAATTGCACTTAGACTTGTATACCATTTCACAGTGCTTCACAGCCCTCTCTAAGCAGTTTACAGAGTCAGCCTCTTGCCCCCAACAATCTGGGTCCTCATTTTATCCACCTCGGAAGGACGGAAGGCTGAGTCAACCTATAAATTGGCCAATCTTTAAGGTGCCAACCTCTTTGTTTTCAGAACTGACTCCAAAGGCCTAAATCTAGAATCCTGCATCCAATTTTGGTCACCACACTCTAAAAAAGATATTGAGACTCTGGAAAGAGTGCAGAGAAGAGCAACCAGGATGATTAGTGGACTGGAGAATAAAACATACGATGAATGGTTGCAGAAACTGGGCCTGGCTAGTCTAGTGAAGAGAAGGACCAGGGGAGACAGGAGAGCGGTCTTCCAATATTTGAGGGGCTGCCACAGAGAGGAGGAAGGAGTCAAGCTATTTTCCAAAGCACTTGAAGGCCAGACAAGCAATAACGGATGAAAACTGATCCAAGAGAGATTCAACCTTGAAATAAAGGAGGACTTTATTGACAGTGAGAACAATCAACCAATGGAACAGAAGTTGCCTTCGGAAGTTGTGGGAGCTTCATCACTGGAACATTCAAGAAGAGACTGGACTGCCATCTGTCAGAAATGATGTAGAGTCTCCTGCTTGGGCAGAGGGGTTGGAATAGATGATCTACAAGGTCCCTTCCAACTCTGTAATCTGTAATATATAGATCTGCCGGAATTCCTTGGTGTGTTATAGCATTTTAGCGTTTAATGGAAACTTTACCAGGCACGGCTTAAGTGAAACCAATTCTCCAGAGAGCCATTTTCCCCGCTCGCTTAATGAAATTCCTATAAAATTAAGTGAGCAGTTCTCCCAAAGTTTGATTTTGAAAGAGGTTCTGCTGTGAGGCAAAGAAAAGAGGAGATGTCACTCGTCTTGAACCCCTTAGGCCTTTTTGGATTCGTACATTAATCAACCCATTTTTTCCCCCCAGGGAAGGATACGATTGGGTTCTCTTTCCAGAGGTTTAAACCTGTCTGCAGAATCCACCACCAGAACAGCAGGAGATTCACAGCTCAGCCTTTTTTTTCCAAAATTTAAATTTTTTTATAAACTAAGAAAGATAGGAGGTTTCTCCAGGAAAGATAATTTTCTGCATTCTGGGAGGCATTTAATTTAAATATTTACTTCCACCGGGTCGTTGAACTTCCATAATCCCTCACGCACAGAGAATGAATTGTTCGGGGGGGGGGGTGTCATGATCTCGTACCTCTTCAGGCACCCATTCTCTGCAAAATCGGATGGGTGCCTGAAGTCGCGCGAGATCTTGCCACCCCCCCACCCCCCCCAACAAAACCTTTCACTCTCAGTGCATGAAAAATGTTTGAAAGCCGATCGGATGCAGGAAGCAAAATTATCCTGCAGTGGAGAGAAGACAGATCTTTGCAAGGTAAGTGAGTCCAGTGCGGCAGGATGGGGATGGGGGAAGCAATTGTGGGGAGCAAGAGGTATCTCAGTGGGTCAGGGGAGTCCTTGGGTGGCGTGTTCCATCACTAGCCCCCACTCATGGCCTCCCCCATTGAGATACCTCATGCACTTAACGTCCTGCGCATTCGATTAGCAAATGCAGAGGCGAAAACAGGGAGTGATCACATTCAAGTTACAGGATTCACTCCAACAAATCCTCAGGTTACGAATGTAATGGGCGGGCTCCATTACATTCGTAACTTGAGGATTACTTGTATTAATTTTAAAAGGGGTGGGGGAGAGAAAACATTTGACAAAGGGATCAGGGCCAAGGCAGCTCCCGTGGCGGACTGTGAATGTAATCTCAATTCTCGGAGGCTTCCGCTTCGGTTGCTGATAAGAGGGAGAAAATGTCAGCTCTGCCTCAAAATTTCTTGACTGTGTCAAGGATTCCGCCCATTTAGATCAATGACATTTCTTACATCCAGCCCATGCTCTTAATGGATGGCTCGCATCAAAGATGCTTGGCCGATTTCACACTCGCGTTGGCAAGGCTGCTAAAAAGGACATGAGGAGGAAATGATTTGATCTTCCTTCCGGCTGACTCGGTCTTCCACCTTTTCAGGCAAGCAAAGTGAGTGAAGGGACCTCCAAGGTGTCCTCGTTTTGATGAGGTTCAAAGCGGCATTTTAGAAGAAAGGGACAGGGCCTGCATGCTCGGTGGCTCCTTTCCACAATGAGCAGGTGTAACAGATTTGGAAGGGATCTTGGAGGTCTTCTAGTCCAACCCTCTGCCCAAGCAGGAGAGCCTATCCCATTCCAGACAAAGGGTTGTCCAATCTCTTCTGTCAGGAAAAAATTTTTTAGTTCCAGTTCGGTTCTAGAGTTCCAGGACGGAGTTTCCATCCGTTGCTTCTTGTCCTGCCTTCAGGTGCTTTGGACTTCACTTTGGCCGAACGCTGGGAAAAATACACATTTCCTCATTAGGCCGAGTCTCAGCTTCTGCTTGGTGGCAGTCAAAACTGTCAAATTTCCTCCCGCTGAATCCCTCCACCCCTGGCTCAAGGTGAAGAGAAGGGTTGACAAGGATCGATCGGTCTTGTTCAATGACACGCATACACACACACACACACACACACCCGTGGCCAAAAACCTTGAGAAAGTGCTTTTTCCCCGACGAAGTGCTGAGACACCACATTTTGGCAGCCAAATGGAGGACCCCCAAAGGATGGACTCAGCACAAAGAGCTGCCGGTTTGTAAGCAGATGTTCGGAGGACGAGAGAAAAAGCAAATCTTTTCATTCTTAGGAGAGCAAAACTGCTCCAGGTGTTGGAGGTCCCCAAGGAGATGGGAGTTTAGAAGGACTTCAAGCAAGGGGTTAAAAGGATTGCTACCTTACACTCTTTCTTAGAAGGCTGGGGCGGGGGAGAGGAGAGTGTGGGATCAGCAGGTTTCAAAAGAGCTGAGAAAACAGCTTAGTTTGGCCACCGTTGATAGAAAAACACATGCCTAACGGAGGATATAAAGACATTTTTGGATGAGGGCCAACCCAACATAAGGACAAACCCCATTAACAAGGCCCTGTCCCAATTCAGCATTTGAATTTAATTCAGATGGTAAGACTCAAGTCCAAAGAAGATGCCAGACAATATGCTGATTTTTCTTTTCTGCAGAATTAATGAGTATGATCTATAGAGTGAGGTCCTGCAAAATCTCAAAGCCTCTGCGTCCCTCGGTGCCTGGTAGCTTCAAGAAGGAGTTGTTTTGGATGGATAGACCAACTCTTTTGGGGAACTTTCACCCAGGGGCATCCAACCAAGGGGACATTAAGGCTTCTGGACTTCAACTCCCAGAATTCCCCAGCCAGATGGGAATGCAGGTCCACAGGCCTTAAAGGTTGCCAGGTTGGATACCCAAAAAGATCTGAGCAGGATGGATTGCATCACCTTCAGAACACCCTGTCCAAGGTCCTTAAGTTTACACCTTCCTATGTTTTCATCTCTCTTGAGGATCATCAGTCTTCCAGCCACTCCATGGATTAAACCTAGGCCAAAGGACCACAACGTTGGCTCCTATATTGCCTCCAGCAGCTACAGCTCACCAGATGGAGCCAAGAGACTTATTGGGATGAGAATACAAGTCCTTTTAGGAACCACGCTAAGTGGAAATCCAAGATTTCTGCGCCTATCTCAGAGCTCACGTGATGAGCCAAGACTTCTACCCAACCGAGAGAATGACTTATGGATGACAGAAGAGAGACCCCTGCTTGAAAAAGCATCCTTTTTTTTTGAATTTTTGAAACCAAGGGACTTCAAGGGCTGCGAAATGCTGTTTTTTCACTTGATAGCTAGAATAATACAGAAGAACAGAGTTGGAAGGGGCATTGGAGGTCATCTGGTCCAACCCCCTGCTCAGCAGGAGACCCTATAACATTTCAGACGAGTGGCTGTCCAGTATCTTCTTAAAAACCTCCAGTGTTGGAGCACCCACAATTTCTGGTGGCAAGCCATTCCACTGGCTAATTGTTCTCCGCTGTCAGGAAATTTCTCCTTAGGTTGCTTCTCTCCTTGAGTAGTTTCCACGAATGGTTCCTTGTCTGGCCTTCAGAGAGGCTTTGGGAAATAGGTTGTCCGCCTCCTCTAAATATAGCTAGCAGACCCCCACAGACAGGATTTCCTGCAGCACTGCCTGGATCCCAGCAAACTTTCTGCAATTTTAAAACATCTCCCCAGGAAAAGAGACGAATAATGGGTGAGGGCACCCTTCCCCTCTTTCTGTTTTCCCATCAACTGGCAGCCTCCTTAAATGCCCATATGCCAAGAGATGGAAAAAGTTGCACCCAGTGCCAGCATGACTTCACCGGGCCAGCGCCCATGATCCAGCTATTTTATGCCCCGAATCTGCTGGGAACAGTCCCCCCCCCCTCCAAAAAAAGAACAGGTTCTGCAAGTATCCCATTTTCCAGCTCTTTGAGTCAGAAGTTCGATTTAAGCACTAAAGATTAAAACAAAAATGTCATTCTGGTGCTTGGCTTTTGCTCCAGAAAAAAAAAAAAAAAACACGATCCAAGTTTAGTTCCTTTTTTAAAAATAAAAAATAACAAGTAGTACACTTCCAATGGATTTAACTGGGCACCACAAATTATTGAGAATTGGTGCATTTTTAAACACTTGTGAACACTTGTGAGCTTCATCCCTGGAGGCTTTCAAGAAGAGCCTGGACTGCCATCTGTCAGAAATGAGGTAGGTCTCCTGCTTTTGGGGGGGGGGGTTGGACTAGATGACCTACAAGGTCCCTTCCAACTCTGTTAAACTGTTGATCAAGGAGAGAAGCAGCCTGGAATTAAGGAGAAAATTCCTAACAGTGAGAACAATTAATCAGTGGAGCAACTTGCCTCCAGAAATTGTGGGTTCTCCATCGCTGGAGGTTTTTATGAAAAGATTGGATAACCATTTGTCTGGAATGATATAGGATCTTCTGCTTGAGCAGGGGGGTTGGTCTAGAAGACCTCTAAGGTCCCTTCCAGATGTTATTCTGTTATTCTTGACTGGTAGCTGCTGGACTTTCTTCTGAAGCCTTCAGCAAACACCTTGCAAATCCAAAGAAGTTGTGTGCATTGGATTAACCGCCATCATGGTCTTTTACTGGCACCCCCTAAAAGCTATCAAAAGGACAACTTTGAGAGTAGCCATGATTCCTCATGATCAAGGCTTAACCTTGGAACACCTATGGTTAACTTTACAGTCAATCTCCATTAAACCCCTCAAAAAAAAGGAAGATTTTCTTTCGCTTCTTGATTATCCGCAATTCCTTTTTCTAAAAGACGACCTACAGTGGGAATGTTCTGAAATTGAATTTTAGAAAAGTGCTCCCTATTTCTCTTGCTTGTCCCAATTGACTTCTGAAGAGGTCTCAGATCCCGCAGTCTCGGTCTCTTTTGTCAGTTGTCTAAGCCGTCTGTAAAAACCTTAAAACGATTTCAGTGTTAAGTTTTAGGAGGATCAAGAAAGCCAAGTCTCACCTCGCTTGTGTCTAAGGATTTCTGCTTCTCGTTTCCCGAAGGATCTGACGCGGAGAAGTCAAACGGCTTCTTTTTCAGTTCTTGGATGACCCAGTGCATTTCCTTCACCACTCCGAGGAGTTCGACAAACTGAAAACATGAAGAGAAGCTCTTGAAGACCGTGGGAACTCTCACATCCTTCCAAAAAGTTCCTATGTTCACGTTTGAACAGATGGTCCATGGCCTGACTCTTGGGTTTCCCACAACCCAGGAAATTCACATTGTAAAGGGCTATCTAAGGTACCGACCTTCAAACAGTGGGTTAACTAAGTCTGCATTACTATTACAATTATTATTAATCCTCCCATCTTTCCTTTCACCCATCTCCTCCCCCATGTGACTGTAGGACTGTAATTTTGATGCTTGTATCCTAATGATTTTTATGGACTGTTTCCTAGTATGTCTTGATAGCTTATTGTACCCTAGGACTATTATTAAGTGTTGCACCTGATGATTCTTGACTCTTGACAAATGTGTCTTTTCTTTTATATACACTGAGAGCATTTGCACCAAACACAAATTCCTTATGTGCCCAATCACATTGGCCAATAAAGAATTTCTATTCTATTCTATTCTATTCTATTCTATTCTATTCTATTCTATTCTATTCTATTCTATTCTATTCTATTCTACTCTACTCTACTCTACTCTACTCTATTCTAACAAACTAGATATCAATTAGGTAGGGTACTCCTTTGGTGCAGAGCGGATTCTAAAAAGATGGCACACTTATTCCTATCCAAAGCAAAGATGAGTAGACCCCGTGTTTGGTCTCTTCTAATCTAGAATCTGATACTCCTTGTGATCCCTCTTAATTGTTGTAGAATTGACGGTTGGTTCCTGAGAGCCATTCAAGATTTGCCACTTCAGATATCTCCCACATCCAGATTCTTTGCACTTTCCCCGCAGACCTATGCAGGCATGCATAAAGCAGCACCCACTGGAATGGGACAACTTACCGCGGGCAACCCGCCACGGCCAACTCTCCACAGCCAACTCTCTACGGCCAAGTCATCATGGCCAACTCTCCACGGTCAACTCTCCATGGCCAACTCTCCATGGGACAACTTGCCACAGGACAATTTAACCATTCAATTTAATTATTCAAAATGAAATTAAAAAAAATCATTTCATTTTTTTTGTCATTCATACTTCATTCTGTCCCTCGTTTTGCATCCTTCAATGATTTCATTCCACTATTTCTTAGATAGTAGTGTAATTCTTGTCTCACAGCAAGTTAGCCGATAGTGAGTTGGATGTGGTGAACTGTCATAGACCCACATTCACAGTGAGGTCTCAGAAATGGCTACTCCAAAGTAAGACAGAGTGATGTTAGTGAGCTTTCTGGGAGACATGTTTAGAAAGAAGGGAGGCCAAGTCAGAAATGAGGAGGTGATAAGCCACCTGGGAAAGCCAAGGGAAATCATCCAAACCATAAAAAGTTGGAATATTTTGGACATTTTGTGATGCGACACCCAGGAAATTATGGCATATTTCACTTAATCCTCCAAGGAAAGATTGAAGGCAAACGAGGTCCAGGCAGAAGAAGAACATCATGGCTTCAAAATCTAAGGGACTGGTTTTGGACAAAACTCAGTAGCCCTTTTCCATACGGCTGTTGATAGAAATAGGATCGTCAACATGATCGCCAACGTCCGATGATGGTTACGGCACAAGAAGAAGAAACCAAATACCTTCTTTTTAAGTTCCTCCAAAGAGAGCTGGTCTACTGGACAGTCCCACCGATGATCCTGGTCCCGTAAGCAAATGCTCATGTACGACGTCTGATTGCTCCAAGATAAAGGGGTGTCTTCTAGGGAAAAAAAAAAATAAGGGGGAAAAACTCTCCAGAATTTGTTTCGGAATCCATACACTTCCAGGCGGAATATACTACAAATAGTCCTTGGCTTATAAATATTCAATTAGTGACCTTATAATGGCCCTGAAAAAAGTGACTTATGACCAGCTTTCACATTTACCACTGCTGCAGCAGCCCTGTGGTCATGTGATCAAAATTCAGAGGCTTGGGAAACTGGCATGTATTTATGACAGTTGTACTGTCGCAGGTCATGTGATCAAGGACTACTTCTGCCTATCTATGTCTTTCTCTCCATCTGTCTATCTATTTTTATCTGTTTGTCTGTTTCTGTCTGCCTGTCTGTCTGTCTGTCTATCAATCTTTATCTGTATTTATCTATCTCTCTGTCTGCCTATCTCTATCCATCCATCAATCTATCTATGCCTGTCTGTCTATCCATCTATTTGTCTATATTTATCTTGTCTATTTATATCTATCTATCTATCTATCTATCTATCTATCTATCTATCTATCTATCTATCTATCTATCTTTGTATTTATCTAGCTATCTCTATCTGCCTATCTCTATCTATCCATCCAACCATCTATATGTCTATCTGTCTTTCTGCCTGTATGACTATCTTGTCTACTTATATCTATCTATCTATCTATCTATCTATCTATCTATCTATCTATCTAT